ATTACAGTATTGCCAAGCACAGTATCTTTTCCGACAGTGTCACTACTCTCATGTTACAATCGTCACTCAAAACGAAGCGCACGTATATGAACGACCACTGACTCGACTCGCTCGATCACCGCGCCAAGCAAAGGTACTTGACAGATTTACTTATCTGCTTATCCTCACTCTAGGCATAGGTGCCGCAGCTCATGAAATCCAGACTTCAGGACCTCATTGAAGAGAACCCATTGAGAAAACCTACTGAGCTCTCGATTTATTGAAGCTGAGTGGAGGCAAGGCCAGTTTGGACGCATGGATGATACGCCATGTCCAACCCCTGTTCAAGTCGCCAATGCATCCAAACCTTTGAGGGCGTCCGTTCTGGGTATGTGGATACAGACGACGCTATCTTGTTGAAGTTACAGCCGTCAGGATTAGCGGCTGGAATGTGTTCGAATGACTCCCTCGTATTTGGTGTGCCGATGAGAGAACACAGATATGCCCTTGGTGATGGTTCCGACATCGACCCTCTTCGCATTGGTGAGTGTGCTTGTTGTCTGTTCAAGCTCTGAAACATTGATAGGATTAACCAACCGCTCGTTGCTGCAACGCGACTGTCGCGTTGTCACAGACAAACCTGGTATTCACGTGGTCGTTCACGTGGATACAACGTTCAACTTGAACATGCCTGGATATCCCGTTTTTGTCCTTGGATACTCTGACTTTGGAGGATGCTTCTATGTCATTTGTATTGCCATCACTTCCCAGCTTACGGATGACGACGTCTCTTGGCTGCTAAGCTCACTCAAAACAGCCTTTCAAGTCCTACTGTGCTCACCAGTTCGCTCCCCCGTTTGTAATGGGCGATGCAGGTGTTGCTCAATTCAACGGTCTCAAGACCAATTTGGCGAATCAACGAAGTACATCATATGCTTCGTCCATGTGATGAAAAGGTACAGCGTTTGAGATATCATACCACTCGGTCAATACCTTTCATACGACTATGCAGTGTAGAGATTATGCCTTCAACTACAAGTTGTCATGGTCTGAGTGGGACGATATTTCAAGGGATATCTACTTCTTACACACCACGCAAGACGGTGTTCACTTCGACAGTGCTGCCCGCGTTGTCGAAGCTAAGTTGAGAGAAAGGTCGCAGCGCGTGAGAAAGCTCATACTGAAATTTTTCCGCCTGTGGATGGTTGCTCCGATTATGCCAGGACCACCACCCAACGATACAGGAAACCGGGTTTGGAGGTGGCAAACGTTTCACACGGATCAAGGCGCTGCAACCACAAACAACCCCAATGAGCAATTCAACGCTGTTATCAAGAAGGTACTGCTACGTTCAACGCTATCTAACGGGCAACATGATATTAGGAACTTGAACACCAGCGCCTGAAGTTGGTTTACTTGATTCAAGTTCTTACGCGCATACTGCATGAAGAGTCTGAGCGTGACAGTCAATCCTGGACGGAGCCACGGTTGACAAGACGGCTGTTGCAACACTACAACTTACAGAAAAAAGAACGAAGCATTCGAAATGCATCGAAACCCTCAAGATGATCCAGCAACTTGGAGTACGCCATCACAACGTGGAAGCTGACATCGAGGGCAATCCACAAGTGCAAGAGCCTCCTCGCACCAAACACTTGCTGTTGACATACCTCAACCGCAACGTGCACCTCTGGAGCTGCTCGATCAACCTGATGGCGAGGAAGCAATAAAGTCAGTTACCTGGAAAACTCAATGACTCATAGGTGACTGGACAGTTGACATCGAACGCTCAAGGTGTAGTTGCAGATTTTGGGTTCGATCTGGAATTTGCGTGCATGTAATCGCTGTTGCCGATTCAACTGGGCGACAACTACCTGGCATGCCGAAGAAAGCCCGCAAACTTGTCAATCAAAGCGTTTGGGGAGGTAGTCGAGGCGGGCGTACACGAAACGAACGTGCGCTGCTACGAGGTGTAGGTCGCCCAGTTGTTGGAATGCAGCAGCCATTTGATCAAGTCACCGGGGATACTGAGCAGGTTGAAGAAGAAGAACGACCTCAAGAACGTCGTCGAATTCAAAGCAACATTTTCGAGGCTCCAGAAACTATAGTAGATGAAGCAATTGTATAATATTCGTAATTGTGAAGGAACTACACCCTTCGTCTTATCCTTAGTAGTTGGACAGTACTCGATACATCTTTCAGCTTAATTGGAGGAGGCCTCGCTTGGCGAGTCGTAGAAGAAGCATTTGCATGACAAATCTATTGTTGTTAGATCTTATAGTCATCGGATATTTCATAAGTTTCCAATCACAACGCGGATATCTGATATGATGATGACCCCGCATCTTTTTCATTTTTGTCAGAACACAAATGTAAATTTAAACTACTGTACATGGTTGAAAACAACACTATCGCCATTATTCATGATATCGTCTTCCACCAACTACACCGCCATGGTGTTGACCGACTCGGCGGATCCAATACACAGCGACGAGGTCCAATACATCACTGAAGCACGAACGACTAAAGGCCGGAAACAGTACCACGTTGTATGGGCTCGATCTCACTTGTGTGGACGAAATCAATCCTGGGTTTATGCCAACCTACTGGAGAAGTACCCACAAGCAATTGCAAGCTTCACCGTTGGCAAGACTACTGCAAACAACACGGCGAGTGCATATCGTTTGCCACGTTCGGTTCCCACGACGCTCATTTGATGGATTTTTGCGGCGATGGGCCCAACATATGTTTGATTACTGCTTTTCGAATTGCTGCACGTCTCCTTAAACAGCCATTGGCCTTGAGTGACGACGACGTGGCAGCCTATATGGAGTCCAATGGCATTTCCGCCAACGGCGGCATCCCAGTGTAGTGTATGCGAAGTTTCATTCGATTGTTGGGAACGAAAGGGTTCAAGTTCAGTCATGCCGTGTTCGGCAACAACCTTTTGTTGGAATCGAGCGGCAACCCAACCATTGATTTGTGTGCGACGGTTCGACGAGTCGGCGAAGGTGTGTACTTGTTGACCTCGGTAACGCAAAATACCCCGCACCGCTGGATCGTACACTGCGATGGCTACTTAACGACCTTGTTCGACAGCGCGGGTGCGATGCCCCTTGGTGAATTTCCTGCGGTTGACTTCATTCGGACTATTCGTCGCATTTCAGCCGAAGATGCTCTTGTGGCTTCGGTTCTTGCTCACGCCAAAGTAGAGCTTGCCAGTGTAGTTGTGCTCAAGCGCATGCAGGTCACCAATTCTGCGGTTGACCTCCGGGACGCGAATGGTGACCTTAATGAGTCCTTTAGAACAATTTGAAATTTTACCTATTTTTTATTTTCCTTTTATTTTGGGATTTCTCCCAGTGTTGGAGACCTGTACAACATGATACATTTGAGATGTTTTCAGTCAAGTCTATTTTGTTGCGAGAAAAACCAATCCAATGTGAAAGAACCATATTCGTGTGAGAATGCTCTCTTTAGATGTTATAGGGTTTTTGCTCCTGTCAATGCAGACTTCTGGGAACATCAAAGTCGCAGACACCCTTTTCTTGAAATTTCGACCTGACCTTTCACAGGCATTTCCCAAAA